CTAAATAGTTGTGATAATAATTATTATATATAACACTATTATTTCTAAATAGTTGTGATAATAATTCTTCTATATAACACTATTATTTCTAAATAGTTGTGATAATAATCATTATATATAACACTATTATTTCTAAATAGTTGTGATAATAATTATTCTATATAACACTATTATTTTAAATAGTGGTGATAATAATTCTTCTATATAATACTATTATTTCTAAATAGTTGTGATAATAATTCTTCTATATAACACTATTATTTCTAAATAGTTGTGATAATAATTATTCTATATAACACTATTATTTCTAAATAGTTGTGATAATAATTCTTCCATATAAAACATGGACTTGTTTACTGTTTCCTAGTTCTTTACCTGTCCTACCTCAAGACTTATGGTATTTCCGGTTTCATGGTATAACATAAATAAACTATTCCTTATATAATGACCTGACTTATCTGAATTACTCTCGTATTTATAGCCTGACCTACTGTTCTCGGTTTCATGGTTTGGCGTACTCTCACGGTTTCATGATGTAATCTACTATTTCTGGTTTCATGGTCTGACTTACAATTTTTAGTTTCATGGTCTGACGTACTACTCTCGGTTTTGTGGTATAATTTACTATTTCCGGTTTCATGGTCTGACGTACTACTCCCGGTTTCATGATGTAATCTACTATTTCTGGTTTCATGGTCTGACGTACTACTCTCGGTTTTGTGTAATCTACTATTTCCGGTTTCATGATCTGACGTACTACTCTCGGTTTTGTGGTATAATTTACTATTTCCGGTTTCATGATCTGACGTACTACTCTCGGTTTCATGATGTAATCTACTATTTCTGGTTTCATGATCTGACGTACAACTCTCGGTTTCATGATGTAATCTACTATTTCTGGTTTCATGGTCTGACTTACAATTTTTAGTTTCATGGTCTGACGTACTATTCTCGGTTTTGTGGTATAATTTACTATTTCCGGTTTCATGGTCTGACGTACAACTCTCGGTTTCATGAAGTAATCTACCATTTCTGGTTTCATGATCTGACGTACTACTCTCGGTTTCATGATGTAATCTACTATTTCTGGTTTCATGGTGTGACATACTACACTCGGTGTGTCATGTTTTGTTTCGATGAAAATTACAAATTGAAATACTTTGTATGTTGTTTGAGTATTACATGTGGAGACTTTTTATCATCCCCTTCAATATGTACAAGTAGTTCTTATCATATGTTTGGATGAAAATGTACAGAAAATGATTTTTTTTCTTTAGATGGGTTGTTCCTCCCCACAGTATGAAGTAGTATATCGAACGTGCTACTCTTCTTTAACAAACATTTTGATAATGTGCCACTAGAACGTAACATTGGTCTCGCAAGAGTTGAAACATGTTTTGAAAAATAATTCTTTATTAGCATAATACTCTTTATTACTCAGGTAACGTTCTGAGAAAATATCAAGACCAGTGAGATGTTTTGGAAAAGAACCGATTATTGGCGTGAACACTGTTTATTCATGAGGTACAATTACGATAAAATTATAAAAAACACACAAGGTAAGACTTGTATAATGAGGAAATAACTTCTACGTATCTCTACTTAAGCACTGGTCTGTTTGTTAAACAACAATACGTATCTCTACTTAAGCACTGGTCTGTTTGTTAAGCAACAATACGTATCTCTACTTAAGCACTGGTCTGTTTGTTAAACAACAATACGTATCTCTACTTAAGCACTGGTCTGTTTGTTAAGCAACAATACGTATCTCTACTTAAGCACTGGTCTGTTTGTTAACCAACAATATGTTCTGCAAAATTAAAAGAAGTAGTTTTAATTTGTTCGATTAATAAGTTATTAGAATTACCCAAGAGTTTCGGATGATTTCCGAATATGTCGTTAAAATATTGATTAATCTGTTCAAACATGGATACAGTCGTATTAAGTTTGTTAACATGTGGAAATAAAATCTTGTTTCCGACTGTAAATATTACATTTATCAGTCTTGCTTAGAATGGTATTGCTTTTGATTATTTGTTTTAGCGTGAAACTTCTCACATGGCCAACAACATGTTTGTCTGACTACACATAACTAACCAAAGTAAAAGTAACATCTATCCCTGTCCTGCCAACAACATGTTGTCTGACTACACATAACTAACCGAAGTAAAAGTAACATCTATCCCTGTCCTGCCAACAACATGTTGTCTGACTACACATAACTAAC